TTTTCAATCTGAGGAAGAAACACTATCACGACTAAAACTTTTGCTTACCTGGATAGCATATCTCTTTTTGCTATTATGACTGATAGATTCTATTTTCTTGAGACAGTGGAATTAAGGAGTCAAATGTGCAAAACGAGGAACTATTTGTCACTTCCCCAGAGGTAACTTTTCTTGCAAAGTAGATCATTTTTATATTTAAAAACATAAATCATTTTAAACCTTTCCAGACGCCTGCTTCTCGGTGGCTTGCACGCTTTTAGGAGACTATTTCTAGTTCAGAGCTCAAGTCGAGGGCGTGTGGGGATGGAATATCTGGTATTACAGAGCCGTGGTGAGCGCGGCCACCTGTGCCAGGCAGACACCGGGGACTGTCGCGTCCAGCAGGGGCTGGCGTCCGCTGCGTGCTGACACAGGGCCAGTGCACAAGGCTTTCCCTCTGCAAGGCTGGGCCGCTTGCCAAGGGCTAACTTGGGCTAGAACCAGGATTAGTATGGAATGTGCATGATTTCCTTAAGGAAATTGTCTGACTCTTAAATAAACACATTAAATACACCTGGTCAGGAATAAAGAGCATTTGTGCGCTTGATGCATTTTTTTTTCCAGCCAGAATTTAGTGGGGGTCCACAGCCATACCACCCCGAACGCCCGGATCTCGTCAGAATTTAGTGAGGGCTTCTCCTGTCGACTGGGGCAAGTTATGATCAATAGTAAAATACCCGACGGAGAAAAGGCGGGGTTGAGAAAGGGGCCCCAGCCATGATTTCTTTACAGTGTTGATGCTGGGTTCCCTCCCTTTTTGCCCGTCACACCCCCTTTGCCCCTCGGGTGTTTGTGGCATCTCTCGCCTGTGCCCTCACGTTGCCGTCTCAGGTTTCCGGAGGGTGCCCTGCTGCTGGAATTCTCCTCCTGGTATCATGGCACTTCTTACTGACAACTGCTTGCACTTTGACCTTCTTACAAGGGTCTCATAAGCGTGATGCTCTGGAGAGAGCCGAGCGGCCCCCGGCCAGGCATTGGTTATCACCGCACCGCATACTTAACTCCCTGTAGGAGGCGGGAGAGGTTTCTGAGCTCCGGAGAACTCTGCAGCCTCACAGAGAGGTAAAGTTCAAATTATGCATATTCACCAGCTGTCGAGCATGCATAGCCCCTCTTGACTCGCACCCTGTCCCCAGTGTCTTCTAGATCGCTTGCGTTTACAGTACCAACAACCTCTGACCCTGGTGTTGCACCGGCTCTTCATAAAACTTTCTCATATGAGGTCTCAGCTCATCTTTAGAGCATTGCAGGCTGTGTGCTCTTTCGCTTCCTTTGAAGAAGTCAGCTTCTAAGCTCATTGAACACATCTCCTTGAAGTAAGTTGAACGCCGTTTTCTTGAAAACAACAGCAGAAACAGAATAGTTTGGTAGAAAAAGGAGGGCCTGCGTTGTGAAGCAAAAGTAGCTGTATGACAGTTATATTTTGGCTACGTGAGTTGCGCTCATAAAACATCGACCATCCACTTACAAGTTGATTTATAAAATGCTGGACCAGCTATCCTTTAATTCTTCTTTCTCTGGATTTCCCTGTTCAGAGCCAAATATGTAATGAATTTGCTCACTCCACTAAAGGACGAAAATAGCAAATAAAAAGAAAGAAAGCATCACCTGTCTTCCTATTTCCTTCATTTCCTAAAATATTCTTTAAAATCATATGAATGAGGGCTGGGGATTTAGCTCAGCGGCACAGCGCCTGCCTGGCAAGTGCAAGGTCGTGAGTTCAATTCCTGGTACCGGAAAAAAAAAAAAATCATATGAATGATTTCAGATTTTGTAACAAATATTTCCAACTGAAACTAAAAAAAGGAATGTTTGTAGAGACAGAAAAAGGAGTGTATGGGTCAGCACTTGTTCTCTGAAAAGAATTTAATTTGCTTCCTTTACAAGTAAAGGAAAGATTTCAAAACTTTAAATTATGAGTGCACTCTTCGGGAATATAAGAGGAGTATTTTTAGTTAAGTTACTGGGGCCATCCTTAATAATTTATGATAACTACGTCATTCATAACTTAAGATTGCCTTACTTAGAGAAAATTTTATTTCCTTTTTCTATACACTATCAGCACATACTAATGTTCAGTTTTCCTTTTGGAAACAATGATATCATAGCCATATATTTTATGCACTAGTTACATAATTATTCACATTCAAATTTATAAGCTTTAAAAAACCACACTAAGCAGATGCATAAAACTTTCTTAAAAGTTCTTTTCCTTGAAATCCATAGAAATGCATCAGTGCTAGGATATTAAAGGTCTTGACAATTTTAGTTTAATTTGGCTATCAAATGGACAAAGTGCTTTACAATTTTTATGTTAAAGAGTTAACTCTAGAGACAATTATCTATTTAGGAAGACATAAATTTTAGAATACTTCTGGGAAAGTTTTAATTTGTTGATTCTTCACTGAATTGTTTGTAATTGGGAGACATAATAATAATTAGAAAATAAAGGCTATTTTCATTCTTAAGAAAAGTCATAGCTGTCATTGGCTAGCCTTAGTCTCCTTCCTTGCATTTCTTACTAAGGAGATCATTTGCAAAGATTCTATATTTTTACAAAAATGCAAATGAAACATATTTTAAAGTTGTGCTTAATATAATCAAATTCTACTGTGATTAAGGTGGGTGCAGCTATCCATACTTTTAAAAATTATTTTATGACAGACAAAAGTAAAGTAATACTTTACTTTTTTGTTGTTGTTTTTTTGTTTGTTTGTTTCCGAGACAAAGTTTCACTAAGTAGTCCAGGCTGGCCTTGAACTCAGTATGTAACCTAGGCTGGCCTCTATTCTCCTGGTGATCCTCCTGCCTCAGCCTCCCCAGAGCTGGGATTAGAGGCATGTGCCTTCACACCCAGTTTTTTAAAATCTGGTTTATTTATCTTGTTATTTCTTTTGGCAGTGCTGGGGATAGAACCGGGCCTCAGACATGGTCAGCAAACCTAAGGTGCACTGTTGAGCTACACCCCAAGCCCTTTAATTTTAAAATAGATTCTAAGACATTTAAAATTGAATAACACATATCTGGCAAAATATTTATGCATTATTATAGTAACTACATTAACTATCAGGAGGCATCTTCATTTCAGGATTCTAACAATGTTACAAGACAACACCAAGAACTTAGTAATGCTGTACTGAACCCACATTTTAATTACTTCTTTTCCTACAGAGAGCCAGAAGAACACCATTCAGCTAATAGATACAATCTTACTTCTTTAGGTTGACGTCTTGTGGATATTTTCTACATGCACTCAAAACTGTGTACTCATCAAATGGTATTTTTTAATGTAATATGACTTTAACCAGGGATTCATTTAATCAGCTTGGTTCTGCAGCTTGTTTTGTGAGAAAACATACTATCTTTGATTTAATTTTTTCTGACACTGTACCCACTGCACAGTAAAAAAAAAAAAAAAATTGTAACTGTAGTTTTGTCCTTTATAGCACAGGACAAATAAATGTCAAAATCAAATGCTGGTGTCCCCCCAGGGAACACACACTTCAGTGATGAAATATTCTTCCTCACACCCCGTTGCTATTCCTCTGAACACCTAGGTGAAGTTGCCTCAGGACCTAATCAAATGCTGCTAATTTACATACAATAAAAATCCTGCCATGAGATTGTAGGGAGGAAGAAGTTTTTAAAATAATAAATTATGAAAATATGTACACATCTGCTCTGAATCAACAGTTTATAACTCTTGGAATATTATAACTGGAGCCAGTATAAAATAAGCATCTGTTTATGTTGCTGATGTATTAATTCGCAGTTTAATAAAAACCCTTGGAAGTGGTGTATCGCTGCTTTCTATGCTCACTGAAAATGCTCTACCATTGATAAAATGTCAGCCTCTTCTTGGGAATGATGACAACAACCAACTCTAAAACAATCATTAAGGTGGCTTTAAAAAGGTAGCAGTAAAACTTTTTTTCTGGAAAATACTTTTACTTGCATTATAATAGGCTTTCTGGTTTATAGAAATAATAATTTACATAATAAAGTAATTATTTTTTCTAAAATTAAGCCATATTAAATAATTTGAAAGAATAAGTACATGAATTAATTTTTGAGTAAATTGTTGAGCTTTGAACTCTGGTGATTTTACTAACTCTGACAGGTTTACCAGCTGCTTCCTAAAACAAAAAACTTGTTTCACAATATACTTTCACATCTAGAGTTTGAAACTGAGCCATCCTTTTTAGGCAGTTATAGTTACCACCAAATTCACACATACAAGGTATTAAATACCGAGCTTCTAAAAAATGCCTTCTAGTAGTTATAGGAGCACCTAGAATCCAGGTGCTGGAAATGCTGGATTCCTTTCTCCTCTTCTTTTTCTTTTCTTATTTTTTCTTTTCTTCTAAAAAAAGACTTCTGCTCTGAAACTTCTTTTCCTCTAAAAAAGAATTTCTGCTCTGGAACAGAATTATTCAATTCTTGAAGGAATATACTGGACTTCTGAGATCCTCTCAAACTGTTTGGCCTCACAGAGAGGACGAATTCACATTGTATTTGGCATGTGGGCGTGTCAAATATTGTTATATTTACCAGTTACACTAAGAAGTGTTTTAAAATTCATGATAATTTACAGAGAGGGATCACCTATTTGAAGTCCCTATGGTCAGGAGGAAGAAGGCTTCATGAAAATGTAAGGAGTTGACCCAAGCCACCTATGTTAGAATCAGAAAAGTCACTCAACTACATCTGCTCTTCTTTACTGATGATATTGTATCTGCAGTGGGAAGAGGAATCTAAGATTTAGGAAGCGTTAGCAGATGAAGCTTCCTATAACTAAACTGATCTTTAAAAGAATGTTAATGTTCTGCAATTAAAATCATGTCTTTTGAAAAGCAATAATTATGCACAGTAATATCCTGAGTGAACGCAAAAAAAATGATAATCACAAGAAAAATTTTTACTTTGTTACCAATAGCGAGATTGGTAACAAAGACTCGCTATTTTTATTTAACACTGTCCAGAGATTATTCTTTGTTACTTACAATTACCCAAATTCATACGTCTGGGGAACAAAGACTCTGCCCTCTCTTTGGAGGACAGAAAATAGAGAAAATGTGGAGTGTGCAAACTGATACGAATTCTTAAATCGCTGAATTCTCAGGCAAAGGCACGCTCGGGAACCTGTCAGTTCTCCAGAGCTGACGAGACTTCCCGATGCGCAGAGGTGGTGAGCATTTCACACTGTGGTCCTCAAAGCCCGCCCTACACCACTACCTACAGCAGGACATCCACCGATGTGGCCAAAGTAATCAGTCAGTCGGTTTCTGATCCTATTTGTGGAGCTGACCACCCTTTTTCTGTGTGTTGAAGCTACATTTTTATTCGTTCAACTACAGTCAGAACTTGGTGTACACACTGAGGATTTCTTAAGGTAATCCTTTAGCCACCCCGTCTTCTGGATGCCTAGCTCTTCCCCTGTCTCTCTCTCCTGCCAGAGGCCCGATGAGGTCTGTGTGTTCACCATCTCTGAAGCTTCAACATGTTGGAAACACAGCAGCACTAGAGCTGAAGGAGCATCAGGGAAGGTCCCGTGGCTTCTTTTCTTTCTTCCTCCAAATGAAAGGACGGAGCACAGCTGTTGATATATGACTTGCTTTCTTTCCATTCAATGTGTATCTGCTTCAGCAACAGCCTTTCTCCTTTAAGCTGTAGATCGCTCTCTCTTGTTCTACGTCTCTCTGTCATGAAGAAGAAGTTTGAAGTTCATGAAAGTGCTTTTTGTAGAGACTCAAATTTAGGCAGCTTCATTTGCTTAAAAGCGTAAAAAACTTGCTGTGCGTGGTGGCTGTAATCCCAGTACTCGGGAGGCTGAGGCAGGAGGATTGCTGTGAGTTTGAGGCTAGCCTGGGCTACAAAGTGAGCTGAAGGCTACCCTCAACTGCATAGCAAGACCCTGCCTCAAAAAGACAAAAAATAAATAAAAAATAAAAAACAGAAAGAACTAATGATTTTAGACTTGCTTAATGACCAAATATTTGAAAATTCTTTAAAATAAATTTGAATTTGAGTATACGCTTTTCTTTCTCTTTCATTTACTTTTAATCTTTTTTTATCTTTTTGTTTTTAGTTGATTTCTAATGCTACCTGATTGAAGTAATTTTTTATATCAGCAATCTACTTTGATAATTATCTTGTGTTTACTAATAGGTTGCTTTATAAAATATAATAGGGGTACATAAATTATTTTGCTCATCTGCTTCCATTATATATAATAAACATCTCTAGAGTATATTCTTCTGTGCTTACATAGTTTGTACAAATTTTGGCTTTTATTTTTATTCTAGTGGCATCTTCTTAAATTATTCATCTAAATTTTTGGTGGAATTATCTCAAAACTCATGAAGGAAATTTAACAGTTATTTCAATTTTTCCTATTTGTAAGATGGTCTACCCTTTCTAGAATAAATTATCATTTTTAACATTTTTTTTCTTAGAACCTTTAAATGCTTGATTTTATAATAATTCCTGAGCATTTTCTCTCTCTGGCACTTTTCCACATAGGTGAGAAAAGTAGGGCAGTACACTTAAACATTTTCAAAAATAAATGAGGAAAGCATAACTCCAAATACAAGATTTTTTGTTTTGTCTTCCAAGGCTTATGAAAAGTTTCTAAATTAAGATTTTTGACCAATTTGTAATTTGATTGTTATATCAACTAATAAATCAATTGGTAGCACTTTAACATGTTTAAACTCTTCTTTCCAATCATTAAATTCCAAATTTATTTCCCAGAAATGAAGGGTCTGCCTCTCACAGTGTTTATGCCAGATTAGTTTATACTTAGTTAATGACGGCGGGCATGTACTTGTTTCCTGCCAGGGATTTTACACTATTGTTTCTTTGCCGTTATCTACAATTTTAAGAAAATTTTACATCCAAAAAAAAGCTAAAACCCTACAGTTCTAAGTGAGTTTATAAATCACCTTTCATTCATGTTGTTTGGGATTTATTTTAAAGGGTACCAAAGAAGAGCTTACATTACATAGTCCTTATGGTTTTTTTCCTTTTGTATTGTTTGGAAGAAAAAGCACATAATCACAAAATGTACTTAAATTCAAAAATACTTGAACTGCTTTGATCACTAGAGAGTTTAGAATATATATGTGTGCTTATTTATTTGATCATATAACTCTGAGTGTCTGTACATTTGATGATCTGTCTACACACACACGCACAGTTATTTCATGATGCTGTCTGTGAGTCACACAGAGACGGCCTCTGGCTAAGTGGATCCCTTCAGTCAGCTCATAACTTGCCCTATTTGAAAGTTTTGTTTCACAAGATGCAAAAGGAGAGTTAAAAAGGCAACGGATATAGCTCATTGGCACAGGCACCTGCCTGGTAAACATAAGACCCTGAGTTCAATTCCCAGTACCAAAAAAAAAAAAAAAGAAAAGAAAAGAAAGGAGAGATCACAGCAGTAAATTGACCCTCCTTCCCTTGGTCAGAATAGTAGACAAGTGGATGTTGTTTTCATGTCCAATCAGGGAATAAATCCTTCAATTAAAAAAGGGCAGGGCTGGGGATTTAGCTCAGCGGC